AGATGCTTGCTAACAGCTAGCACTATATCTACTAGGGATAGAAGAAATGGAGTAGGGGGCTTTTTCTAGATTATTCAAGCCAATTCAACAGCATAGCAAAAGAAGTAAGAGCTTTAAGCAATAAAGACTGGGTTTGCTGGAATTTCTCTCATGCAGTATCTCTCAGGAACCTGATGTATAGTTGATGAGGTACTGAAAGGTAAGAAGCCTCAAAATATCTGATATTTCAAAATAGAATCCTTCTGCATCAATAAGCTGAATTTACAAACAAATGCCTTTAAAAATCACGAGGACGATATTTTAGAATGAAATTTAATCAGAAGTTGATAGTGTCTGACAGATTACATGTGGTAATCTTACCATTTCCATTTGGCAACCAATGGCTTCTAAAAGTGCTGAATCTTGAACAATATTTAGCATTGCTCCTGCAACAGAAAAAAAAAGCATTTTATTTAAATACATGACAAGAATACTAAAATGGCTAAAATAACTCAATTAATAGCAGAAACATGATTTTTAGAGCATTCCTGAAATTTCCATAAAATTACCAATAAATCTGTTGACTAGTCAGAAAAGATACTCCATTAAAATGCCCTAATTCTGATCTGCCCCCAAAGTTTCAAAACCACATTTTTCTAAAATAAATTTGAAGGTCAAACTTGCTTCATATAAAAATGACCACTACCAGATATTTTTTAATGAAAGACCAACCATTAATATCTCAATTTCAGGGCTTGCCTATGGCTACATAAGCTGAAAGCAAGGTGCCTTCAAAATATAATGTATTTATCATCAAGGAACTCATAGTCCTAGAAAGGCTAGGACAGAAACAAGATGGTGAGCCTAGCATACTGCTTTCTCATCCCAGTGGGAGAGTACTCTTGTCCACAAAGGATAAAGACAGAACAGATACAGCTTTGCCAATCTAAGGCAAGAATACCAATTGATTCTTCCTTGGAATGTATAAGGGAGCTCTTCAGAACAAGGGGAAAGCAAAACTAAACACTCTTATCAACCACAGAAATTATCTGATTTCAAGTGATATGTTATTTGAATAACTTAAAACACTACAAGTTAAAGGCTCTCTCAGATTGAGATTTAACCTTTGTTCCTTCAACTCCTTTCCAAAAATGGAAGGATTTACTCTTCTCTACTTATCTCACCTTCACACTATATAACATACTATCCCTCCTGAGCACTAATTCCAACCACTACTACCATCATTTCTGTCTATTCAAATTATACCCTATAAAATCCAATTTAACTTCTACTTCCCCCTATGAAGTATTCCTTGATCTTTTGGTTTCTTCTCTCTCAATACTAAGGACATGCTGATGTCCTTATGACATGTAATCAGTACTGCCTTCTACTATTATCTGACTACTTTGTGAGGGTATTCCAACCTCTGCAGTGAGACTTGCTGAAGGGCAAAAGCCACACTATTCACTTCTTTAGTATCCCACTCCCCACAGAGTACCTGTACCTAAGACCATGCCATTGGCTTGTTTAGATGAATGCCAGAAAGCACAGTAAGGAAGAGTTGCAGTGATCAAGTTGAGAGTAATGAGGGCTTAAAATATGCCAGTGGCCATAATGATGAGGAGCCATTTAAGAGGCAATCAATATGATTAGGAGACAGTAGGGAACAATAAGGAAAAAGGGAGGAAGCACAGCTACTCTTCATGTTCCTCTTGGGAGAGTTCTGACACAGCTTCCAGAATTACACCCACCTCAAAATACTTTCATATGCAGGCAACGGGCAAGAGGAAGAGGCAGAAGGGGGAGGAAAGGAAACAGAAGAAAGGGGTGGGAAAGAGAAGAGGGTAGAGAGAGAGAGAAGGACAAGAGGGAAAGAGAAAAACAAAGAACACAGATGACACTAAGCAAAAATGACTTACCAAGACAACTGAATGCTCTTCTCACCTCATCTCACGCCTTTACATTTTTTCACATATAAAAGCAAACAAATTCTGCTTCTGATTCAGAATAAGTAGAGCTATATTAGACTTAGCCTCCCATCACCAACCCAGACTGCCTCCTCAGCATGTCTGGGTCAAAATTATCTGGTTTTTCACTTACAAAAACAATGTATGAACACAAACCTAATATCATTTGAGTGTTGTTGGGGTCTGTTTCCGTTTGCAAGGCACCTATTAGTATATTCACAAGTCTCAACTTCAGGGACAAAAAAGTTATTGGTTTATCATAAGAAGAGCTGTCATCATTACTAAACTTTCCTTCCAGAACCACCTATGGAAGAAACAAATAATATTTAACATTGATTGCTGTGGTACACTATGCCCATGTAGAAACTGATACAGTGGACAAAGAGCAGATCAGTCTAACAAGCAAGGTTTTTAATCTGACTAATATTAGCCACTGTGCTAGGTCTGTTGCTAACTCAACAGCATACTATGTTATCAGATGTCACCACTTGAAATGGTAGGTGAGGCATGCTCGCGAACAGAAGAAATTTCCACAACAAATCAACTTTGTTGATTCACTAAAATACTTTTTAAAATGTTCTTAAAAGCTCCTGTTCCATTTTTAAAAGATAATTTGACTCGAATTTGCACACAAAACAGAACATAGAATATTAAAAAAATTTAATAAAACATTACCTCAGGTTTGACTGTGCCAAAGTGATGAGGGAGGGGCAACAAAGAAAGGAGGATATTAATAGAAGATCTTCTTAATTCTGTTGGATTTACATAGTTTTTGAATTTGGAGAGTTCTCTGCAAAAAAAAAAAAAAAATTGCTATTAGTATTTCCAAACTAAAGTATGTTTTTAGCTATTACCAAATATACATTATGCCAATTTTTCACAATACAAGCACTGGGTTTGGTTTCATAAAGACTGCAGTACCTACTTTCCACTGAGTTTATATTCTATAATGTGTGTGTGTGTGTGTGTGTGTGTGTGTGTGTCTATGTTAAACTGCTGTTATGGAATTAAACTAGAATCTGATTGACTGATTTTAAATGTAAGGCCTACTCTACAAAATTTAGGACTTCTAGGCCAGGGTTGCTCTTACGCCTCCAAACCAGGCCACAAAAGATTAAACATGCCCATGGACAAATCAGAACTGAAGGAGCTCAGGGATGAGGTGGGTCTGAATATTCTACACTCATTTGATGTGGCCTGAGTCTCCTTGGGCTATGAAGACAACTGAACATGATAAACTAGGAAACTGGGGAGGAACCACCAAAACAGACCAGGCCAAACCCAACAAATGATATGCTAATATAGAATGACAACTTACCTGTCAGGCAAAATGGTTTCAAGAGCTGAAATAAAGTAAGGAACCACAACATCAATCCCTTTCAAGTCACAGCAGAACAAAGGAGGGGAGTTTAGAATAACGCTGGCCAAGACAGGATGGCACACATAATCATTTATCTGCAAACCTTGAATTAAAAGCATGTAAAATCTAGGAAAGCAAGAAAAAAATTTTAAACAAACTGCTGGTCAGTTGTTTCCATAATTATTAATATTTTCTACAAACTCACCCGAAAGTCTTTTTGCACTCTTCACTACTTCTAACCTTTAAAGGTATTACTGAAGTTAGAACAATTCTGAATCAAAAACACTAAGAACCAAAATTATCTTTCCTAATGAAATAAATATTCATGTTTATTATACCTTTGTGAATCCTTGCAACTCAAATTTACAGGTGCCTACAAATAAAGCAACCAAAACAAAGCAAATGGCTGCAGTAATTATCAATAAACTGGAGGAATTACTCTATTAAAAATGTGCCTTTTTCTCTGTGACCCATAATTTTGGAAAAGACAAAGAAAGAAACCTCATTCAACCCTGCCTTCATCATGATGTTATATAAGACTCCGTATAGGAATATACCTAAAGTGTACCTTACATTGAGTATACCTTACTTTTAACCTGCTCCTCTAACCTGCAATCAACTAAGCATTCAATCTTCCATCGTTCAAGAGCAACTCTACTGGTATACTCTTCTACTAATATAAGGCACTTTTCCTCTCTGCAAAACTCTTCCGAAACAGCTTCCCCACCTCCTGGTCATTGCTCAACACATTTCAATCCATCTTTTCTCCCTAGAACCAAACTAAAACTATATTAGCAAATAAACAAAGGCCATTTCATTGCTAAAACCAGAAGACATGCCTAAGTCTTAACTGACTCTGCCTTTTTAAAGCACTCAAACCTCTGATTACTCCCTTCTTCTCTCCTTATTCTTCTGACCTCTGTGGTTATTTCCTTTTAATAAATCCTCTTACTCCGCCTGCCTTCTAGTAATGGTGTTCCTCAGGCTGCCATCCTTAGATAATTTTCTAAGCTGTCTCTTCCACTAGCCTGGTTTTAAACACTACTTAAGCCACTGAATATAATCAACTCAGTCTCTACCCCATACCTCTCACCTGAGCTCCAGATCTATTAGCCAAAAGTATACTGGATACCTGAGGGCAAGACATGTCTATTGATGTACTCCAGTAATCCTTGTGCAGTGTATGGCATAAATACTTGTTGATAAATACCCCAAAGACACTTCAAGATCAAAACTAAGCTCATCATTGGCCCCCTCACAAATATGCTTTTTTGGTTGGTCCTATCCAGTCTTATGGACCAGACAGAAAGCCCATGGTCATAACCTTCATCCTTCCTGCTGCTGCTACCATTTGTGGTATCTCCCCAACCAATATTCTCCCTCCTGAGAAATGTACTCCCTCCCACACAAGGGGTGCCAGCATTCCATGTGACCCACTCTTACAGCTATAGATGACTAAACCAGAGGTAGACACCTGATTAATCAGATTCTCTTTCTCAGGAATTTGAAATTAGGATTTAGAGATGCTAATTGGCCCTGCTGGTCACCTAGACAAAGGCCATGAAACTGAGAACTTAGAATACTGCAATATAAGAAAATGATTTGCAAAGAACAATGAAGTAGTTCTTGAAGACCATGAAGACAGAAAATTCAGAAAGGAGGAAAACCCATTCTGGTCCTTGAACACTTTCTAGATGCTGGTTCCTGCCCGTCATGAGGCCCTGCTGCATATCCTGACCTTCGAATGTATTAAATGGTACGAGTTTATCATAAATGACTTTCCTTTTGCTTAAGTCATATTGAGAGCCTATTAAGATACTCCTAAAACTAAGAGCCTATTAAGATACTCCTGATTAGTACCCTGAATGTACCATTCTGTTTCATATCTATATGCTTTGTTCCTTCTGATAGTACATTTAAACCTCTCTCCTGAGAACCTAGCAGATACACAGACACCTGAATGCTCTTGTTGATATTAATATAACTTCAGCAGATGTGCGAATGATTAGTTGAGATGGGCAACAAAAATAGGCCATTTCAAGTTAATTTCATAAAAATGTAAAAGGCCTAAAGTGTCATGGCTGGGACAAAGTGGAGAGATTAGAAAGAGTATTAAGTAGCAGAAAGTCAGGAGTTGGTTGACCAACTAAAGATGTACCTGAAGAGAAGTGGAGACTAAAATGACTCCTAGTTTCTGGCATGAGCAACTAACTGAATGGATGGCAGAGGCATTCACGAAAATTAGTTGAAGTCATAAATCTGGATAAGATGACCCTACCCAACTTGCTTATACTACCCATCTTTTTGAAGACCCAGCACAATCATTCAATCCTCTGTAACTCTTTCCTGAACCCCCAGGGTAAGTGTATGGTGCTTCTTCCTCTGAATGGTGACAGCACTGTGTGCTTTTCTCCTACCAACTTCCTATTACTACTGGATCATTGTAACTTGTGTACATGGCTTTGCTCACTCGAGAAAATAAGCTCCTTAAAGGCAGGATCTACAGTTAACATTTGTGAACTATCTAGTGTCTAATACTGTGCTAAAAATTAATTAGTATAATCCAAATCTCTCCAAAATTATAAGTCAAATAAAATAGAATAAATAATAGTTCTAAAATTAAAAGGATCTTAAGGGTCTTTACCAAATCTAATATGGCAAGTAAAATGGAAGAATTCAAGCAAAAATTTTGATTACTTACTGACATTTTCAGGTATTTCAAACCAACATTTACTGATCAATTCAGCCTACTAAGGCATGTTACAATATAGTTTCACTACCCAAACTACATAAATGGAAAAATAAAAAAATTCTAAGACCTGGATAAATAAGCTGGCAGAATCTCTTCTCCAGTCTTCTTGCTACAAAAAATCCTACACAGTGTCCCACAAGCCTCAGCTCTTCCTGCTTCATAGTTATCAGGAAATTCACTTGCATCAAACATGGGATTGGAAACCATGGTGTCTGTAGACATTTGTGACCCCTTCCGTCGAAACTCCATGCTAGCTTGTGTTGTAATGGCTGGGGAGAGAAAAGGAGGGTTTTATTATATTTGTCAATATGCAAATAGGCTCATGGGACCCTGGACACAAAGATCAAATGTTGGTGTCATTAAATAGCTACTTGAATAAAATCCAATAATTCTTTCGTTTAGCAACTATGTCTTAATTTTTTTAAGGGCTCTCTGTAATCTTCTTGGAAAATGGGTAACAATTAATCTATAGTGGTATTGTCAGTTTAACAAATTCTACTAGAAGTATTTTCCAACTGAATTTTCAATCATCAAAGTACATTTATATATATCTGTACTTGTACAGATATATAATACAAAATTTGGCTTTTCTATTATTTATTCTGTTTTTAACTTCCCCTATAGAAAGATGCTTAAACATTAAGACAAATAGCTACTGCAATTTCCACATTACCCCAGACAAACATCATTACTGAATGGGCAATCCCATGCCAGTCTGTATATTTTAGGGAGAGGGCAAAGTAAGGATGAGAATGGGTAGGAAGAAAGAGCATTCCCACCACCCACCCAACTCCAAAACACACACCAAAGAATCGCCCAACCAAGCAAAATGAGAATGAATTTTAAAAACCATAGACAGCAGCTAACTGGAGGTTGATAGATCAGAAAATTGGATTGGTAAGAAAGATTATCTATCACGGTCATTCACTGTCACTGAAACAGAAGCCCTTCGAAAGTTGCTTTTATTTTTAATAAAAGATTTCACAGTGTATTGAAAACCACTCTGAAATCTTTTATCACTCTACATGAAATGTTTAAATTATTTTGTAATATTTTTAATAGAATGCAGAGTCAAGTATAAATCTTTATGCAACTTCCCATGAGCCATTTTTAGTCCTGAATAAGCTATCCAGCAATAATACATTTAAAAAACACTACATGCAAAATGCATACAAATCAAACATTAAATCTGTATAAAAATAAGCTTAAAGCTTAAAAACAAACAAAAAAAGCCAAAACACAGTTAGTGCAAAATCCTGGAATTCATGACATGACCAGACTAGTATACAGAAATAATGGGACTGATTCAGGCAGATTAATTTGCTTTTGCCAACAATCTTCCCCATTCAAAACACAGAAAAGTATTTTTCTTCCCAAGTGCAAAAACTACAAGAGACAATGACAATCAAATTTTTTAATGGAATTATGAAAAAAATAAAAACATGACTGCAATTAAGGAGAAGCTTCTGGTTCCTACTTACAAGATTTATAAGAAAGAAGAATTTGGATAAAAGATGCTGCAAGATAATAGAAATAAATGGAAACAAATCAAAGGACAGCAGTAATTACAAAATACTTTAAAGATGGTGAAATCTTACAGTAAGTTAAGAAGCTTTTTAGCTTTTTAGCTTTTTAAAAATTAGATTAAAAGCGTTATGATACCACAAGCTAATTCAAAAACATAGGAAACTGTGCATTCAGATCCAAAAATATAATTTTTGTATCATGCAAAAGAAATGAACAAAGAAAATTACACAACTACAAAAGAATTGAGGTTTTGAACTGCCCATAACGTGCATTAAATTTTTAGTTCATTAACCCTTCCCAGCTCAATGTTACTTTTTACAAAGCACAGTGTACTGTCAAGTAAATATAAAGCTAACCAGTTCATAGAAGCAAACATTTTAAGTTACAGGTGAACTGGATGGCAGAATTCCTTGATGACAGCCAGTATTTAGAAAACAGACTAACAGTGTTAGTATTTCCAAACTTCCCACCACCCCCTGGGACCTCAAAAGTGGCACCCAACAGCGCTCTAACGCACTCAATTATCTGGACACTTCCAGTCTCCTGGGTAATGGAACAGCCTTTCTCATCTCTGAACATAATCAGGGAAGAGAAGTTTCTATCCTTTCCCCACCAAGGAAAATGGTAAGAATTAAAAGTAAGAATTTGTTGCCTATATATGATTTGAATTCTAACTTCTATCTTTTGGAACAAGAGGGTGAGCAAAGCTGTTACAAAATCCCTAGAGAGCAGGAAGATCTGTAAATTCCCTTTAAGCAAGCCCACCAAGGAGGCAGCAGCTTGAACCACTCTGGATTCAGAGATTTTAGTGTCAACAGCTTGATATCCAAAAGTTACACTGTAAAAATTACATCTTAATAAAAGTAAAAATATGTCTGACTCATTCTAGAATATATAAATAAATATAAACATAATTCAGAAAACTAAAAATATAAACACATTAACGTAAGAAAACATAAGCCAAAAATGGTTTTTAAGTTTTCATTTAGTCATCATAAGTACATTTACTTATCCATAAATAAACACCACTTTTAAACTTGTAAATAAAAGATAATATGAAAATGGTAGGATACAAAGTGTTTAAATTTGAACAAAAAAAATAAAGGAATCCCTAAACTCAACCATGCAATCTCAAATTATATTCCTGAAAATGTCTTTATAGTCACAACTTTTCTAAATTACATAAAAGATCTGTAAGAATATCCAAAATAATTATACGTATATAATGCTAACAGACACAGACTTTAGTTCTGAAATGATACAAATAGGCAAAAATGCATTTGTGAAAGAAAGCAGAGATCCTTGTGGACGCTAGTTTTATCTTTGGAATTAACATTCTCCCTAGAGAGGCATAAACTAATGCAATTAAGCCTCCTTTTTCATCAAGCTATTTCCAACACCAGTGGAAAAGTGCTTTCTTACCAAACAACCAATACACTCACTAATGCAGATAGCACAGTGCCTGGCACAGAGTAATTCAGCTCAATAAATGATAGTCATTATTATTATTCAGCTCTATAAGATATGTCATAAATAGTCCTCCCTCAGTACATTCTGCACTACCCTACATCTCATCCTGCACCCTATGCAATTACTTCCAAATATAATGGTAAGATGACAAAAATAAATCAGATTTTATTTAGATGGTGTTTCTATAATAAAACCTAAGTAAAGCTATCAGGGTTGAGTTACTGTCCACCAGTCTTTTTTAGTTTCAGAACAAATGGTATTTTTGAAAGTGTACACTAGAAATAAATTTCTCTCTACTAAAACCTGAGAAGTTAGAGTCTTGTGAAGCAGAAGTTTTCTGATATTTATATGTACTAATGAGTGAATGGTTGTCAAAATCTAAGAAAACACTTATTCTGAATAAATTTCTGGTTAAAATATTTAATTCTTGATATCAATAGTATTATCCTGGCTGACATGAAGGGAACTTCCAGGTCACCTACTACAAGAAATTTGATTCAACAACAAAAATGGCTAACATGAAGTGTGTCTAATAAAACCAGAAAAAGCCAAACCTCATAAAATAAACATAAAAAGGACAGGTAGCAAAACTTCCAAAATTGTTCAGCTGGAAGGGGTTAAAAACAAGACACTGCTTTGTCAGAGACAGAGAGCTTTTCAAGATACATATTAATCTTGCAGGTAGGAAAGATTAAAAAGAAAAGAAAGAAAAGAAAAAATGATAACGTATTTCTTGAGCAATATTTACCAGTCATGCTGCTGTCTCTGTTAATCCCATTATGAAGTTTACAGTGAACAAATGCTGCATCAAATAACCATGATCCAAAGAGATTCAAGATGCTGTTAACCTTTGGTCTCCGAGGGGCAGGCAGTGGCCGGGGTTCTGAACTAGTCTGATTTGGACTTGACAGAGGAGAAGTGGAGGATGTCTGGTGCTGAACTTTCGAGGCATGAGCAGTACTAACCTATTAGGACACAAAAATATATGCACACTCATGAAAAGTTTGGAAAAATAACAGGACTTTTAAAAAAGGACAGCAGATTAAAAAGTCAACATTATACAGCATAATAATGGTGATGAAAACTTACTGTGCTTGTCTTCATGGTGGCCTTATTCACAGTAACAGCCCGATGCCTTCGATTATGTGGTGGGGTGGTACTGACAGCAGTGCTTTGAGGCATACTTAATCTATTCACGGGTGTTGGAGGAGCACTATCTGATCGGGGTCTAGAAATGCCTTTAAGAAAAGACAAATGGAGTTATTCTTCATAGTTCAAAATATGTGGTCAGAAAATCTTCCTCAAGCAACACCAGTGAATGTTTAGTACAGACTACAGCAGAGACTGCTAGTATCCTCCGAATACCCATTTGCCCTCTCTTCCTGAGTTATAGAACACAAATTTTAGCTCGGCCTGGCTCCACAGAATCAACAACTACATTTCCAAGCCTCCCTCACAGCTAGATGTGGCCATGTTCTGACCACAGAAAAGTGGGTGATGTTGGGAATCTCCTTAAAAGGACCAATCAAGTGTAGGCTCTCCTTCCTTCGTAATTCCTGAAGAGGATAGTTGGAACTAACTCATTCAATTATCATGGCCCATGAGAGAGTGCAGAAGGGATAGAGAGCCAAGCCACAAGATACACGTGCCTAACAATGGTAGAACTGCTATAGCAGCCCTGTACTGCCTAGCCCTGGGTTTAAAACACGTGTAAGTAAACTATCTTGTTTCAAACACTGGTATTTTTAGTTGTTATATGACAGTCAAACTTAATTTGACCTAATACAGGGATGGGCAAATGTAGGTTTACAGTTGTGAGTACACAAAACACAGAATGTATTCTTGTACTATTTAACTATTGCATTATTTATATTACAACTATAAACCTACTTTTGCCCACCCTGTATATTATGTATGTATTATAGTAACACGTACACATAACAAATGCTTTAGAAAGTGATATATTAAAATATCATTGACTTTCAACAGGTAAAAACAATTCTGACTTTTCATAGTCCTAAAATGTGAAAAGCAGTTCAAAATAGTTCATAAAAGGTATAACTTGCCTCCT